GACATGCCTTTGCACCTCAGCTTCCTGCACAGCCTTTATAAATCCAGCAAACAAGCCATGTGCTGCCTAGGTCAGAAATGCCGTCCCTACGCGGCAACCGCAAGTTCGCGAAGCTGGGTGTTCTCAAGGAGCAGCAGTGTCTGGCTGGACATGTTCGGTATTCCGTTCTGAAGGGGGATGTCCTGTGTGAATACCGTGTGCATGGGGTACGCAAAAACTTTGTGAGGACTCTGTACTAGAGAGATATCATAGTCGGCAAGGGGAGTTTCTAGTCAAGGGGCCATCACAGTCTTTATGATTATGCTTTTCATGTCATACAGTGACTCTGCCCTCAGACCTGCTGCCTAGATGTTCTTCATGAGTTGGAAATTACAGTGCCGAGCGTCTGTCAGTGAGTGCCACGAACTGTACCAATCCAGATGCTGTCTCATTAGGCTGTCGATCCATCCTGAGTTGCATGCTCCGACTTCTGTGCGATGTGCTTGCATCCATGTGGACGGCAGCAGCAGCAGTGGGATCAGGATATCAGGCTAGGATTGGCCATTGTGTGTATGTAAACGACTCAATGACAGTTCCGGCTTTCAGCCTAATTAATTACATCGGTCTTGGCAGGGCTGTTGCTATGGGGATTTAGATTATTCTTTGTGACACTGTGCCACCCTGCAAACGCCGGGCATGGATCTGGCACCTCTCTTCTATCGCCTACGTGTCTTGGGAGCGCCGAAGGTGACATGACTTTACAGTGTGTTGTCATTGTATGACTCCGGCTAGGTGTACCCTTCTCCAGAGTATTCTACGACTATAGGTTTTTGTGAGCAACCATACCATGCATGTCTTGTCAAGAGAGTCTGGATTAGGATATATGTAGATATATATATATATATATATATATATATATATACATACAGATATATATGGGTACCAGGGTCATAGGGGATTGTAACCAATAATCGCCTGCTACATTCTCTGGGTCGAGCATGGGTGGAGACTTCATTTAAGGCTGACGCTTGTCGCTCACAAGGCAAAGCAACGACCCTAAATCTGCATATGTCGTCAATGCATGTAATGTTGCAATTCGGGCTTACTGGTCTCCCTTCGTAAATTTGAACAATTTCAGACTCATGCAGAGGCAGGTCTAGACATGAATATTTACATGTGTATATACATTAGTACATACATTAGGAAAGGTAAACAAACAAAGTAACATGTAGAGAATACCTATATACACATATATATATATATATAGAGATGCATAGTTACATACATTATTGTAATGATCTTGTCTAACTGTGTGTTCATTGTTTTCATAGCTGTATTTAGCAAGCCACAAGGAGTACATTTGCATGTACCCACATACACATGTCTACATGTGTATACGTATAAACCAATGAGTATACGCATGACTGACTATGCGTGTGTGGGTGTGTATATATATATATATGTAAATGTATGCATATGCTGCAATATCTGCAACATACATGCGCACACACACACCCACACATGTGCTTGACCATGCTTACAAGTCGATATCTAAAGTGTACCGTGATGTGTATATAAGCATAGATTAACAAAGGTACTTGATGCATGTCTTTGCATCTACTGAACGGGAAAACTGATTAAACAAGATTATAGATATATGTAGAAGATGTGCTGGTTACCAACTGCCAAGGTGCTTCTCCTCGCCATCTTGTTGCTATCCTGGACGGACTTCCACGAGAGCAATGCCCAGGCAATGTCGGTATGCGGTGAAGTGATCAGTCGTTTCTGCTCGGGTTCCATAAAGGGGCTATGTACTTATGCCGTTAGGGAGCGGGTATCTTCTACATCGATTCCTAGGCCCAGCTAGAGAACTGTGACTGCAATGGTGGGTTGGGTCCAAGCTTCAGAGGTGAGGGCTGTAAGAGTTTACACGAGGCCTAGTCTTAAAGTCAAATATCCACTATCCTGGGAATCCTAAACAGACTCTGTCTTAGTCCATGTTGTACTTACACCGGCCTAGATGATGCTGGAGCTGCAGCAGTGCAATTTAGTTCACTAGAGACCATGGACTCAACTAGCATTCGAATGGTTTTCTGTTTACCCTTAATGAAACATAGAATAAGATAACCTCCTGCCCAAGCAAGCATAGACAAATATTTTCGGAACACCCCGGAACTAACTCACTGACTCACTGCGAAAAACTCGACAGGCATTGAAGTAAGCCTGGGCTATTGAGTGCTTGAGTGTGGCAAGGCCAGGTGCGGGGTCTCAGGTTTCAAGGTATGTCTTTAGCTAGACATATGTAGGGCGATGCTAGATAAAGACTGCGTGGGGCCATCGTGGTGTCGGGAATCAACCTATGAGAACCAGGGCCTTATATAACCCACAGTCGCCTTTATCTTCACTTCAACATCCTCCGCATCCCCAACTCTCACAATGATTCCCTGTGGCTCTATATGTCTCCTAGGCTGATTCGTTGGATTAAACATGTTTATGGAATGTAGACCGTGCCCTGAGACTAGAACCTTCATATACGAACCCGGGATTGCAAGTGATTGAAGGGACTGGCTGGTGCTACGTATCCAAAGGGTATCGTGTTAAGCAGGTTTCGGACTGTCTGATTCAGGGTTTCATTGCTTTCTCTTGATTTCACAAGGTACCCACCTTAAGATTCTGGGGGGGGGGGGGGGGGGGTACTGGGTCTATATTAAGGTCGATGTCGATATAACCGATTGCTATCTGGCTTGATACTCGAACTATATCTTTAGGCCTGCAAGCATATGGTTGTATCTCTGCCTTCATCCTTGTATACATGTCTGCAAGCTGTGGGAACGTGCCTTCGTCGAATGTATCTATGCCAGACCTCAGATGCTGAACTTACCTGAAATTCCAATATTTTTGTTACCCTTCCACGCAAAAGCAGCCTTTGCAATCCCTGCCTGGAGATCTATATATGCCTATACATAAATACTCCGAATTAACGCATGGGTGCTACTATAGGCCCTATATCTCTTAATTCGTTAAAGTCTTGTATATATAAAACCCCAGTAATAGACAATGTGTACAGACCTCGCCTTGTTACATCTGTAGGCCTGTGCTGCTGTATGCACACCATCTCTATACTTACTACAAATGTATATATTCTGAAGTCGCGATAGCCAAGAACCAGCCTTAGCGAACTGCTCTGCGGGATAGCATTCTGTGTGTTGGAACCTGTGTACTCTAGTTGCCGAACACGTACTCGTGTCAGGAAAAGCAAAGTGGGTCGACTAGAAGCTTTGGAATGTGGATGTTCGGACGGACAATAACTTGCTGACCTGTTTGTCCATGTCCCTCTCTATCTGTAGGTCCATATTATAGTTCTTCTGAATCCTTACTATCGGCAAGGGTCTATCTGTATCTACCTATACCCATCTACCTACCCACGTGTGTACAGCTATGTGCGTGTTACACAACACATATGTCTATAGAGCACTATCCTGTATGTTGGAGGACTTAGGGTGGCAAGGGACGAGGGTATTGGTTTGTATCCAAGCAATAGTCCGCTACAAATACGGCTTTTGTGGACTGAATTACTTTGCTTAAGACAGCACATGAATTGTTCGATGCATTTGTCATCATCGGGTTGGCTCCTAGATCGGGTTCAGCTGTCTGTTGCAGCTCTAAAGTGCTGGATCAGGTTGTGTCGCGGGCTTCACGGATTTCACATAGCAGCTGTCAGCTCGGCCCCGTAATAAGTGTGTATGTGAATGCATGAAGTGCATGCCTAGGCACCCTAAAGCCTTCAACCTTCAACACTTCATCCTCAGACTCGTGAAAGCAGGAAGAAGTATTCCCACCTGTAGGTCGAAGCCTATTCTAATCTACCAAGTTCCACTCTAATTAATTCTAATCATAGCCATTGTGAATTGTGAACACTGACACTTGAAGGAACCCCTGAGACGTTATAGACCTGTTCTGCAGCGAGACCAGGTCTCAAGGTATTCAATGGTTCGAATATGCCTGTGTGGGGTCGATCGAAGGCTTCCTAGGTGAATGTATTCGGATATGTGTTGGTTCGACGCTTCGGGTCTCAGGTATATTTGTTGGACTGAGGCTTGCATCGTAGGTAGTTGTTGAAAATCATACCTCGAGTCATGCAGGTTTCAGTGCTGCTTGGCCATCCCACTTATCAGTCTCAACTTGCTACAATGGGATCTACAGCTGTCGGGATGGCAAAGCTTCGACTTGGGATAGCAACCCCCGCATTAGAGGGAGTGCCCTGCAACTGCAAGTATACTGCATACATGGGTCTATTTTTGGGAACCTGGTGTGTCTTATGTGATGCACAGATCCTGTAGAAGGCTTTGGATAAGTCTCTGCTATCGGCCTTGGACAATCTAGTGCTGCAACTATTTCTTCGCGGACTGCAACGCATGGTTCGCGAATCTGCCCAGAAGTCCCAGAAGCGATTGAAGGCCATGACAACGTACCGCGCAGACTCGGTCATGTCGAGGGGTTGATCCATCCTGCCACAGAGTTCTTGGATATGGTTTATAGTCTATGTTTGTTTAAATTGGGTTGTGTGTTAATTTCAGATTGGCAGTATACCAGGTCGGTGTGGGCTTGTCTTTGTGGCATTAGTTCACAAGGTGGTGTAGCTCTACGGAGTTCTACCGTGAATGTATGTTTATGTATGGATACCGAAGTGTTGTGCTCCATGAGACCGAAAGTGCCAGCATGCGTAGAAAGCTAGCTCTGCTATCTTCGAATGAATGTACACATATATATATATATATATACAAACGGCACATGGTTCAGCTGAGGTGAATACGGGCGAAAGCTGGTTCTTGGCGGTCGTGTAGATAACTGTACATATATATTGCAGTGGAGGCTCAGCCCTGCAGGGCAAATGTCATTCTATCGGGAGGGGGTTCTGTGTGTGTTGGATGTGTATAGTTCTCTCGGACCCCATCCACGAACTCATGTGTCCCTGCACCGACCTGCCAAGGTTACCAGAGTCACCTGACACATGTGGCACTATGGAGGCGCTACACCGAAGCCAGCATCGGGCATTTGCAAACGCAGATGCCCCTCAGAAGCTGTATAAGGGGCCGCTTCGGGACTGGCAGAGCTATTGCAGTGCTCATCCGGACAGAGTTCGTTCCACCCACCGATACGTAGACAAGAAGGGAGTGAAGCGGTTCCATGGAAACAAGAACCTGAAGCCAACAGAGTAGGGGCCTCAGCAGGATATGTTGTTCGAGAGTTATCCAAATTACTCTCCATGTAATTATAATTAAATAAAAGTCTGCCACAGCCTGGGTGGTGGACAACTGTGGTGGTATAAAGTATGCATATATAGTATAGGGTTGGGATGCTGATATTTGTAGTAGGGCCTTATAATCCAAGGATACTTCGGGCTCTTCTAGGTTTTGTAAGGTTCGAGCTCTCTTTGAACAGCCCCGACAAGGCCAAATCCCACAGTCTGGTTTTGCTAGAACAATTCCTATAGGTCCTGCTCTAAGCCTTAATATAGGCCCATAGGCACAGGCATTGAAAGTATACCCAACGAAGGGTTTGTACTTCCCTGATGTCAGATTCATATTCTCCTAGTCCAGCAAAAACGGCTTGTCACTGGTCTTCGCTCAGGAATTATCCACCTCGATTCGGTCTGCGCCTCGTCGAGCTCCACGACCAGGTGCTGGCCACGAAGCAGGGTGCACCTGTGCTGCCAGAGGACTTGCCGACAGCCATTGATACCTTTACCATGATGACATGCGATGACATGTGGGATGATGCGAAGATGATTGAATGCATTCGGTACATTCGTGGTGGCACTTCTTTACGCATCCCTGAAGCTTTCCGTGACCTGCTGCCTGCGGCACTCTGAGCTGATCTGCAGCTTGGTGCAGGCACACGTGGCATGTGCCTGGTACAGTGTAGCCTAAAGCAGAACTAATTCAGGCAACGGAGCAGGGCTTGGGTTGCTGCAGACGGGACTCTAATTCGTGTATAGGGCTGCTAGAAGAGAGTCAATTGTCTTCTCGTGTGACTATGTAGCAGTCGACAGCCCTCAGCTGTGAACCGCCAGTGCCCTGGTCTGCTCCGAGCGCTGCTTTTCGTAATATACAATTAGAAGAGGATTCTTGGAGCCGTGCATTTCCAACTGCATTTTCTGTCTAAGTTACATTACAACACAGTTATCATAGGCTTTAACATACTCAGAGAAGAAATTACCCGGTATTGCCCGTAACCTACCCGTAAACACCCGTACTTTACCCGTAAACACCCGTAACCGCAACTCCCTTAACCCGTATTCAGCTCAACCCGTATTTTCCTGACCCGTATTTAAAGCGCAACCTGCCCGTAAAAAGCCGTAGCCAACCCATAAAATTTTATGGGTTATTCTAGTACTAAATCATACACACTTTTGCCACCCTTGCACAATTTTCGCTAAGGTTTGCTTCCATAGGCTCAGCACCAAAGCTGACTGAGTCATTCCCTGCTTGAATACAGTCGTATAGACCTAGCATCGACTTACAGCAACAGATAGATCTAGTGCACTAGATGTGACACGAGTATCTCATCCTCCATACAAATTGAACCCGGTAGCAACCAAGTAGGTAGTGCTCCGTACATGTCTAACAATTGAACTATGCGGTTGGAAGCAGGGCCTTGCAAGTTACGTTGAAGCTCGACAGTGCTTAAAAGTTCTTATAGACTGTGCACCACTGACTGCAGTTACTGTAGAACTGTTTTAGACCAGCAGCATCAGCATGCCAGCATGCTGACCGTTTGATGAGTCATTGTCGCTTGTCCTCAGCATGCTGCAGGACTGTTATATGCTGCGCAACATAGCTTTGAGCTCACGCACCGATACGTGCACCCCCTGCTGCCGGAGCCAAACAGGCTTGTTTCAAAGATGTGGAGCTGCTCTGAGCTTCGGGAGGGCATGGAAAAGGTCATGTTGGAGGGACATGATCCTGAGGAGCTACGTGAGCTGCAGGCGGGGGCTCAACACACACCTTTATGTAAGTTCATGACCTCACACCTATCGTGACGTCTTCGGTTCGATTGGTCTTTGTCCCGAACATCCCACCGTTGCTTCCTTAAAGGATCTGAATGCGGAGCTGGAGGCTCTGGATCAGAAGGCCATATATGTGCAGATGCGATGAGAAGCCAAACCTCAGTTGTTGTGTATTCATGCACTGATCATTTATGTATGCTGTCTGACTAGGAAAAGCAACTCGTGGATCTGGCAGAGACGCAGGCTGCCCTTTGTCTTCAGAAACACGAGAGCTATGTAGCATGTCGTCAGTAATCTGCATCATGATGCACATTCTGTGTGTACCTAGATGCACGTCATGTATATATGTACACTCATATACAAATGAACTGGACTAGTACCAAGGCCACCGATGCCGAGCTGAAGGACTTGGACAGAACCACGGCCAGCCCTCCCCGCTCCAACTCACCTTCTTCCCTGGCTACGAGTGCCCAAAGCCAGGACGTTGAGTCATAATTAGCTGCATTATCCATGTCAGCTCCTAACAGGCTGTGTTTGCTGGGGCTTCTACATAATCAGTGCAAGGAGCTGGCAGACTTGCAAGCGTGTGTGCGGAAGATGGTGGTCTCCGGCGCCATCCCGGAGAAGAAGAAGCCCCGCACCGAAGCGCCTGCGATGGGGTCTATGACCAATGAGCCCCCCCCTCCACGACTTTTGCGGATGGCATGAGTGACTGCGGGCCCCCGAACGACTGCCCAGAGGAGTTTGGGTGATTCTGTGTGCGGGCTATGTGAGCTTTTAAACTGTGCTTGTGTGTATAATGGTCCCAGTCGGACAACCCCCCAGGTGTGCCACTATTTAACAGCATGCATGTCGTGGAATCACGAAGACACTGCGAGGAGAGTGAGAACGAGGAGGAGAAGGAGGAGCCTGAGGGATCGGTGGCAGGCGGAGGTGCAGCTGGGGGAAAGAAGTTCCGAGCAGCCAGGAACGCTAAGCTTCGCAGGCTTTGCCGGCGCCGAAAGAATGGTTCCCTGGCTGTGCCAACGTGGCTCCATGAGTTGTGGAAGGCTGGTAACCATACGGCCCTTTCCCTGCAGTACGAGGAAGCTGGCTACAACAAGGACCGAATATTGCACCATCTGATTGGCTCCTTAATCCTCTGCATGGCCCTTTATGAAGGTAGGTCAAGTGTAGAAGCCCATGGACCAAGCTCAAGACATAAAAACCGAGGCAATCCTCCATGGTGTTTGAAACCCTCCTATAGTTACTGTATAAATGCTTAAACGAACTAACAATTGAATTAGTGTGGGATACTAAGAAAGATAATGCTATGTGTTATACATATACACATAACATATCCTGTTTGTATGCGTTTGTGTTTTATGTATAAGCCCTGTACATACATACTTGCAACACCGTTACTGCAGTACATAATTACCAGCCGGTGGTCTCGCGATCTGAGAGGTTGCACCAGTCGGCTTTGACTGATCCCCAGCCGATCAAATCTAAACCTGATAATGTACCAGATGAGCGGCTGTCATCACCAACATCCCGGCAGGATAAGTTCGTGACCTCGGTGCAGAACAGCATCAAGCGGCGGGACAAGAAGACGTGCCAAGTCGAGGAAGGCTGGTACTCGAAGGAGGACATGTCACGAGTGTTGCATTGGAACCCGAGCCCTTGTCTGCAATGTACTGGAATTGAGCTGGTGTGTTTTGCTACTCTGCTCTGATATGTGTCGGTCTCATGGTCTCATGGTCTCTTGATCTCTTGGTCTCTTGGTCTCTGGGTCTCTGGGTCTCTGGGTCTCTGGGTCTCTGGGTCTCTGGGTCTCTCTCGCTCTCTCGCGCTCTCTCTCTCTCTCTCTCTCTCTCTCTCTCTCTCTCTCTCTCTCTCTCTCTCTCTCTCTCTCTCTCTCTCTCTCTCTCTCTCTTCTCTCTCGCGTCTCTCTCTCTCTCTCTCTCTCTCTCTCTCTCTCTCTCTCTCTCTCTCTCTCTCTCTCTCTCTCTCTCTCTCTCTCTCTCTCTCTCTCTCTCTCTCTCTCTCTCTCTCTCTCTCTCTCTCTCTCTCTCTCTCTCTCTCTGTGTCTCTCTCACTCTCACTCACTGTCTCTCTCTCTCTCTCTCTCTCTCTCTCTCTCTCTCTCTCTCTCTCTCTCTCTCTCTCTCTCTCTCTCTCTCTCTCTCTCTCTCTCTCTCTCTATCTCTCTCTCTCTCTCCCACTCTCTCCCTCTTTCCGCTCTCCCTTTTCTCCCTCTCCCTCCAATTTCAATAATGTTCATTGCCAGTCTGTGCATATATACGCCCTACGAACTTTATCACTCATGTTCCCACAAAGTTACGATAGATTGCTCGTAGTCCTTACGTATTTTATGAGTATGTAGTTCTACAAGTAGTAGATGCATCCGCTCGTAAACACATGAACACTTGGATATAGGTGTCTAGCTTAGTGTACATATAGAGGTACACTGTATAACTGTGTCCCTTGCTGTTACCTCGATCTTACCGTACACTTCTGTTCCTGCCTCAAGTCCATGTGTACCTATCACAGCATCATACATGTGATTTGATTCTATATGTCATATGCATGGCTTGTGTATATGTCTACTGTCTCAATATTATCTCTCTGGATGTTGCTCTTCCAGTGCGTCTGGACGTACTCGTTCCAGTCTCACTGGGTCTTACCATCATGTGTGATCTTGTGCATTTATGCTGGGCCGTATGTTCTGAGTTTGGTTTGGCCACCATGTATAGATGTGTAAAGCCATATATGTATACATGCAGACCTTAGTGTATGCAGGGGTATGAACAAAAAAGCCTTTAGTTCTCTAAGTCTAAACTCATGCAAGCCTCGGCAGCTTCAGGAAGAAGATCGCCGGTGCAATTCGGGCATGCGAGGCAAATGCCTCGGCGCTGATCAGGCCTTGGCTGGAACCAAGTGAGACTGCAGTGAGGATTGTGTTTTAGGTGAGGCTCACGCATGCCACATGTGCATGAAGATGCATTCAGGCACACACACACACACACCGTATACGCGGATATACACATTATGTATATGTATGTATTACATACATAAATATGCATACGTATGTGTACATGTAAAATCTCCACGTGCCTGTCTGTACATTCATAGATGAATTTATACATATATGCCTGTGTTCATACATACAGACATACATTCATATTTCCGTACATACATACATATACATAGATACATGCACGGTGTTTAATTAGATGTTCACAGTCGATTTGCAACAACAAAGGTGTGGATACATATCTGTATATACGAGCAGATGCATGTGTATGTCTGTATACATATGTACATATATGTGTGTATGCCTTTATAGTTATTATAGTTTGCATCAATATATTCACGTGCATGTGCCATGCGACATGTCTATCTCCAATGTATACTAGATCGAATCCTTAGATCTGGCTGGAGTGTTACTTTCCCCATGTGTGACCTCATCTAAATTTAATGTGCATGCTGCTCTGCTCTACGGACAGGCGCTCGAAGTGTGGTGTTGACGACGAGTACTGGGTTCAAGTCCGAGAAACTGGGACCCGTGAACTTGCAGAAGAGCGCGAGCAGGGGATCACCCAAAACACCCACAATACTTGAATAAGTAGCTCTACTCCTGCTTGTGATGTATAGTGTCCTACATTCCTCGTAACTTATATCTACATGATCCCTCAGTGCAGGAACACCGTGCGGAGTTGGAAGGTGGACGCTTCAGTGCTTTGGATGAGTACCGAAACCGGGTGGACGCCAACCACGCCCCTGCAGTCGAGGTCGCCAGTGAGGCGGGGCACAATGCATACACCAGCCATCATCTTGAGTTGTGCTTTCGAGTTCACCAGGCCACCAAAGCCAAGGAGATTTTTCCGTAAATACATTGACAGTGTGCTCTCCAAGAGTGCGAAGCTTCGGGCCCTCATCCGTGACCTAGTCAAAACCTATGAGGACCCTCTTGCTGTTGGGAGATTTGCCTTAAACTTGTAACACGGTAACTCCTGCATAGTGCCACCACATACCAGACGAACCATGTCATCCCATCGCCGAGGAGCGTCGCGACGCTGGAGGCCGACGCCAAGATCTTGGATCAGGTGCACAATGAGCTTACGGACATGCAGGCCAAGGGGGAGACGCAGGATCATGACGCCAAGCGGCTAAGCTGAAATCACCAGAATCAGAAGACTGTGTAAATCTAGCCCAACCTGAGTTCATCGGCATCTGCTGTTGGATAGCAACGGCTGCTTGCTGCCATGTATCTACCTAGATAAAACATATGGGGCTCTGAGTCCTTCCGTGGGGTAGTATGGTTTCTGTAGGATCTTGGCAGTTCACATGTTTGTGCGGGTACCGTACATACTGTGCTGGCTGAGTGTTCCCAATAAGCCGATGCTCACATTCCAGCCCTTCTTCACTGGCTGCAAATCCTACCAACCATATGTTCGATGTACAAATCTTCCCAACCTTGAACTAGTAACCCAAGAGTCCAAACCCCAAACCCTATCAGCCCTAACATGGTTTGGCTATGGACGCGGGTGGTGTCTACGATCTCAGCACTGCAACCCACATGCTCTTCGTGTAGCTGCACAAGGAGCATCCTATCATACTGGATTTAAGTTCTGTTGTGCCCTGGTACAGGAAGTCTCTACAGAGGACAACTAATCATAATTAAAGGTTTACATATATCTTAGAAAAACCCAATATAAGCCCTATATAAGCCCTAAACCCCTATGAACCCTATATAAACCTTAGACCGACGGTTCCTTGAAGGGCCGGTTTCGACCGTCTCCAATCAGTGTTGTTTCCATAGGGCTCGACGGGAATGGTTCGGTAGGTTTGTATCTTGGGTACATAGGAAGAATTCTTGGATTACTCTTACGGTGTTGGGATTCTATATTTCATGGGGAGCACTGGGCACCCGAAACAGAAGACTCTAGAAAGTGATACCCGATCCGAAGTATCCCCACCCTGTCTTATATAGTAAGCCAAGCCCCCTCCAGACGTGCTCGGCTTCATAACCAGTGCAGCCTCATGCAAGTGGACAGTTGTTGGGAGCCGTGGGTCTGGCTGGTTCTCTCGAACAGGTGTTATAAGCCTTGTACTCCTAGAGTACTGTACCTGGGTAGGCTTCATGTGGCGACCTTGGGTGGGTTTCTGTGTTATGGATGATGGTGCTTTGTCGCTATACATGCTCATGTGGTAACATGCTGCCATGAGGACTCGGTACCTACCAGACAATGGCATGCGATGTGCGCCGTTTCCAGCTATCATGAAGACCAGGGCCTAAACCATTAGTGTATGTGTGTGCTTTTTACATACATATTGTTGTTCTACTAATCTTCTTGCGAAGTTAAAGGTTGTAGTTGCTCGATCTTAGACACTGCTACGGGCCAATACACACATGCTAGTTTCGTAAATGTTCGTCTACTCATATATAGAGCTACAAAGCACAACCTTTGTGTACATAGATGTGCATAGGTGTATGTATACGTCTTGCATATGCATGGCACACATGCCTGTACATATATACAGAGATTGCAAAACTATTCCAGTGATCCTATATGGCAACTTTTGTGAAACTGGTGGAGGCCTGGCTAGACCGACGCCATCTGACCCTATGTGAGCTTCTGTTGTCCTCCTGGGCGGCGCAAGGAGAGTGAGGCCATGATGAAGGATATGACTTACAAGCAACTGGGCTGAATCATCAATCAAGGTGCTGCAAAACTTTCACTACTCATAGGCAGCCGGGCGCAGTGATGCAGAAGACCAGGTGTGCCAAAGTGGCGTCGAACGAGAACAAGGTGAAGACAAAGCCTCAGCTTTTGTGCCAACACATCATAACCTGGACCTGGAGACGCCTTGAAGCCTTGTCCCTAGACCACTGAGCCCAAGCAAGACACATGCCTGAGGAGTGCAAAGCGCCACTTCAAGAAGAAGCCGGAAGCTACTGAGTCATGATCTGTGCCGGAGCATGAGCTACCATGCAGCCTGTATGATGGCATCTGTGCGTTTTCCGCGCAGAACATTTCTGCAAACCTGCAAACCTGCAGCTGGCTGGTGCTACCGTGCTAGTAGTATAGAACAGGCCTCCCTTAAAAGGCCCGAGGCTCTCCATCATCCCAGACAGTTGCATCTGCAATGCAGTTGTGAGTCAGTATCGAGTAGCGGCAGCAGCTGCCTCAGCGAGTATAAAGCTGGCTAACCAGTTTGTTTTGTCGCTCACTTGTGATGCCTACAGTCTCCAGCCACGGCCTCGGCTGGTCCTTGCAACTTAGTTCCTTTGGGTTCGCGAGGACGAAAGCTCAGGGCATGCCAAAATAAACAGCGGATGTGCAGCGTCGGTGCAGTCTAAACTTTCTGCCATTATACGGTATTGTCAAGTACGATAGCCGGTGCGAATATGCCAGGTCATCGCCCAGTGACTCGTCGCATGGCGAAGAATGTCGGCAATGGAGCTGGCTCCTCAGTAGCTCAATAATTCGGTCGAGCTTCTGTGGTAGGTGGAAGCCACAACTCATTAGGCCCCTGATACATCCCGTTATCCATCTATAAAGCCGTCTACATAGCAGACACCTGGTTTACATGGGCTTAGGGGGAATTAATATAATGTGGTATAGGTCGACAATCTATATATGCATAGGATGGTCTAGTGTATCACTCCATGACGAGTGGTCTTTCGCAATGGAACGCTCGGGTATGGCTTATGTTAGGCCGGTGTTAAAACAGCTAGTACTTCACAAGCCGGAACTGTATTTGTGCCCGAACGTTACCCCTGATCTGTTTCGAAAACCCTCCTGAGTTGTGCGAAAGGCAGCATGTGCATGTGTCTGCATGGCCCCTACATGAACCTGCCTGAACAACTGGGACAAAGGGGTGAGCCTTCAATGTGTTGTGAAACACATATACGCACATATGTGTGTATACGAGACCTACATGTCTGGTATTGTGGCATGTACGTATATATATATATATATGTACATATATATATATATATACACCACTACTAAACGCTCAGCAAACGAGAGGTTGAAGGGAAGTGAAAAAGGACAGTGAGTGAGCGAGAAGAGCGAGAAGAGAGAGAGAGAGAGAGAGAGAGAGAGAGAGAGAGAGAGAGAGAGAGAGAGAGAGAGAGAGAGAGAGAGAGAGAGAGAGAGAGAGAGAGAGAGAGAGAGCGAGAGAAAGAGAGAGAGAGAGAGAGAGAGAGAGAGAGAGAGAGAGAGAGCGAGAGAGAGAGAGAGCGAGAGAGAGAGAGAGCGAGAGAGCGAGAGAGCGAGAGAGCGAGAGAGCGCGAGAGCGCGAGAGCGCGAGAGAGCGAGAGAGCGAGAGCGCGAGAGCGCGAGAGCGCGAGAGCGCGAGAGAGCGAGAGAGCGAGAGAGCGAGAGAGCGAGAGAGCGAGAGAGCGAGGGAGGGTGAGAGCGTGAGTTAGATGGATGAATTACGACTGCCAGCATTCTCAGTGTATACGTACTGACGAGCCTAAATCCAGAGAGAGCTGGTAACAAGGTAACAACGATGTTGGCAACTCTACAATGAAACATTAACATTCGTGACTTTGACACGTCACCCCTATTAGTCAAAGCGAGGGCTACTGGTCTCCTGAAAAGGCTCCCTCACGGCCCATATCATCCTGCAAGCCGCCGTGATGTTCCCTTTGCATTCAGCCGAAATCCTGTGTAGCGCCTCTTGGTCGGCCATATATTTTGCCTATCTAACTTGATAATAGTGATCGACACTTTGTGCATGTTTCTAGATTCATGTGGGTTATACGTCCTACGTGTGCTGGGTATTTGTACAAGTATATGGCTTCCTGTGTGTGCATAATCGGAATACATGTATGTATATATATATATATATATGGATGGTATATAGACACCTGAGTATGCTCGATATAGATATAGTTCTTTTTGCACGTGCTCTGGATTCTTCTTTCGGAATGTCGACTCCTAGTGATGAGACGACAGACGATGAGCTGCTGGACTTGCTGACCTGCCATCGCTCTGAGCCCTGTCAGGAAGCTTTCAGTTTCAGGTAATATATAGTCTGAATTATAAATCATTAGTTCTAGGTGTGTTGTAACCGTGCGATCAAGTTCAGGTGTGTTATGTGTGTTTACATGTGCGTGGTTCTTGGTTAGCCTAGTGTGTGGGGTAGCGAACTCTATAAGTCCTTTGGCAACGACAGATTCCTAAGCAAGGATAATACACGTCTTCTTGTGCATCTGCAGTTGACAACTCTCTTGACAAAGTCATATCACACTATGTATTTGCGCATGTTATTATGTAGACTGTTGCAAGGAACCCTTGAATTACAAGCTGTCATCTGTAGCTCTGGTACCAAGTGGGTTTAGATGTCCATGTGCTTCTGTGCATATATAGTTGTCTTGCGGAATCCATTGCGTATCATTGTTCGTGAGAACCCTTATGCTACATGGCCTGATTGACACTGTATGTATGTTTCGCACTGTGCTGTTCTAGCATCCTCATACCGATCAGGGCTCAACCAAGGCATTGCTGAAAGATCAGTTATGAAGCCCTCTATATAAAACCTCGAAACCCTTCAATCCTCAGGCCACCTGGCCAAAGTGTTGTGGACTTTGCAAGAAACGAACCTGTCCCAATTCTCAGTGCAAGCCTGGCTATGTAGTGGACTCTCTATGCTTCGTTTGTATAGGTCGTACATCTTGTGTAGTTGTCGCCCCCGCAGCAACGACTTCATTACTGTTTGTTTTGTCCTTCGGACCGTCTTGCCTCACCCGAATACGCGAGTGTATATACGTTGTGTACATCGGCAGCTAAGGCGTCCCTCGGCCCATATGCATGGCAAGAACACATGAAAGGTGAAGTGTATGAGACTTCGGATATGGACGGCTGCAAACGAGCTGACAACATAACAGGCATGGATCTTTCAGTTGCCTTGTCGCCTCGTGCTGGTCCTGCTCTTGGGGCTACAGAACTACATGAGAAGTTACACTTGCGACTGCCCAAGAAGGTCGGAACACCTGGCCATGTACTTAGACATGCGATCGAGGTTTTCGAGGATCTACACAGCCGCAGGAAACCCATGTCATTCAAGTTTGGCTTCACACATGATCCAGATTTTCGATGGACGACCCCAATTTATGGGTACGCGCACTGTGTGCAGAAGTACGATAGGATGGACATCCTCTATGCTTCGAGTAATGCTACTGGGCCTGGGTTCCTGGAAGCTGCCCTCGTCAATCTCTACGAAGGTGCCGGGGAAGCAACATATACACAGGCATGGCATGCAATACAATGCTAATTAAGTGTGTGGTATGAATGTCTGTTTGTATACAGCACATCGGCAGATCTGTAGCTATGTATACACAACTACAGCATGCACTGAACAAACATATTTATACTGTCACAGTGGTGTGCTCTCACTTTATTATAGGACTGTGTATACATAGAATTTATGCAATCGTAAAATTTTGTTATGTTTCATGGTGGTTCCTTGCAGCATGTGCCCATACATTATGTATATATACACACATATATGTATATATGTAAGTGTGTGGTTATGATTTTATGTCATCCGAACCCTGCTTGTGTATTGGAGCTATGAACATCAGTATTGGTTTTCGCACTGCTGTTTCTTTTAAAAGGTAATGCTAGGACCTGCTAGGACAGTGTTATGTGTCTTCACAATGCCATATTTCGTGTGGTATCAGTCACAATTCCCAGCTCGATTTCTTCGCTTCTCTTGGCCTTCTGTCAGGAAAAAGTGGTTGCCACAACGAGAACTTGGGAGGGGACACCATGCCGAAGGATGATTCTTTGGCTGGGCCGTATTTCACATACGTCGTGTCAAGATCTTTCAAGAATCCACCCCTGACGACACGGAAGCTTCCTGAGCCAAAATGATGTTTGTTTAAAAACGTCAATGCAGTTTGGTCTGATGGCAAAGCGATGCCAATTCACGGCGGTTTGAGTACTGCCAATGAATTCTCATTTAATTAATTCGCAGCCATGCAGTGTATGCCACGACTTGCACAAGACAGTAGGCAGTGCTGGCAAAAGGTTTTGGGAACTCTGCTTGCGCAGTGTCAGCTTGTGTTCCTGCATACAGAGATGCACGCCAGTAAACACTTGCAGTGTATAAGGAGGGAACCTTGTTGTGCGACTGCTAGCTTTTCCCACGCTCCCATGTTGGTCAAAGCAACCTGCCAAGGCCAGCTGCGTTTCCCAGATCGAGTTCGCGCAGGCGATGACGGAAGAGTTTGGGGAGGAGGCTGTTGCTGCAGTGCAGCCGGAGTTCGTGAGTGGGCCCAGGCAGGCCTGAGCAACTCTGAGCGCGATGTGCACAGAATTATCAAGCGGCAGGGCTTGCGACTGGAGCTGGAGTTCAGTGAATTTCAGCTACGGGATGGGCTCTGCATAGAGTGGCTACGCCCGACGACGTGGTTGAAGTACATAGTCGAAAACAACCTTTGGTTCCATTTGGCAGGTTTGACCTCCCCAAGTCTGAAGCAAAGCCAGGCCACCTGGTCTGGGTACTGGAAAAAGGTTTTTTCTAGCTGAACCCCGACTTCCCGAAGCCTGAAGGTTTTGATGACCAAAACACAGCAGCACTGTACATACATGGAGATGAAGGCCGCACCCTGAAGAAAGCAGCGCTGATGATCATGGGGTTTCAATCATGCCTAGGCTACGGATGTGCAGTAAACGGGCGGACAAGGAAAAGGAAAGCAAACGGTGACTGCAGTTGGCAAGTGAACTATGCAGGGCACAGCTACACCACGAGGTTTGTCACGAACATCATGTCAAAGAAAATCACAGAGTCCTCTTTCGACAAGGCTTGCGAGGAGTTGGCTAAAGACTTATCTGTGTGTCAGCAGACTGGTTACACATATCATGGAGTGACCTACCGACTTTGTGTGGTTGCATGCAAAGGAGACTGGCCGTTCCTGATTCGGGCAGGACATCTGTCAAGACACTTCTCGCGATCAGTAAAAAAACTCGGCAATGAAGATATAGGCAAAGGGATTTGTCATTTATGCATGGCTGGAACCGAGAACTTCCCAGCAGAAGAATGTGGCTACACCGACTCGAAGTGGCTAGCAACGGTTCCAGCACCGCCACCATGGACGGCGACACCTCCACTGCTCAGACATTTGCCATGCTCGAGAAGAGATCCGGGAACACCATGGACGGCGACACTTCCACTGCTCAGACATTTGCCACGCTCGAGAAGAGATCCGGGAACTTTCTGTCAGCCTGACCTATGGCATACTGTGCACCTGGGCACTGGGAAATCCTTTGCAGCATCTTGCATAATCATGGCGATTGTCATTTTGCCCTCTATCCGTTGTTGACGATGGAGAAAAGATGGGAGGCCATCAGCATGGATTATTTGTCCTGGTGCAAGGCTGCCAAACGGCAGGCTTATGTGGCCAAGATCGGCCCAATCATGGTGAACTACGGAGACAAAAATAAGGGTGCTGTTGGCGGCTGGCACAAAGGTGTGCTGACTACGAACCTTCTGCTTTGGTTGCAGAGCCTTTTGACTCGAAACCTATGCTTGGAAGAGAAGAAGGTCACCATAGCTGCACGTGCACTGCAAAGCATCAACAGCGCTTTTCGTTTCTTGTATGGTGCTGGTGCATTCCTGTCGAGGAGTGAATCCACTTATGTGAGTCAGCGAGGGTTCTCTTTTTGAGATGCTATTGTGAGCTAGCTCAGATATGTTATTCTGAGAACAAGCCTGTGCTATTTCCGTTAATTCCGAAACTGCACGCAATGGATCATATCATGCTCCGAATACATTTTGACTCTGAAAGATGTGGTTTTTCGTGCAATCCGTTGGCAACTGGATGCCAACAAGATGAGGACGTGGTTGGCAGAGTGTCCCGTGTTTCACGGCGGGTGTCGATCCGGGCCGTCATCCGTAGAACATTTGAGCGTTATTTGGCCAGCAGCTTTGCTGTTTGGCGTGAGGCTGGCCTGCTGATAGATCTTTGACTGACATGTAAGGGTTATCATGGCCCACATAGCTATATAGATATATACCACTAATCACGTACACATACCTCTTCTTCCGGACGCAGCAAAGCGAGCTTGCCTAGCGAAACTGTAGCGAAGCCAGCAATTGGGCTTCGGCGTCTCATTGGACGCATATCTACGCATCTAACACCAGGCCATAATGGCCGTCAGTGTAACTCCATCAGGCACTGGATGAAGAAGCGGTATGGCCTGAGCTCGCAGTTTTGCGTACTGCCCAAATAAGATAGGCGTTGCAAGACAGAACGTCCAGATCAGTCGCAGTGCAATGTGTGGCACAGGTACCATCTTCAGTTATCCAGGTGCAATCTTTTCCTTTCCATACGCATCGGTAGTGCCCCGAGTCAGCAAGAGCACCGTAGTGCACGATAACGGCCACCACCTCAAAGATACAAAGAGTAGCCACATTCGTATGAGTACCCACAAATATAAGAATAACAAGATCATGCAATACTCCTTGCACCGATGTTGAGTCCTTGACCGTACGCTTCTTGCGGCCCCTCCCAACCACATTGAACCTCATCAGTTGGAGAAGGACAGCCTTCGCGGCACTGTCATAGGCATGAGTAATGGCAGAATCATCTTGAGCATGCCACTTGTCAATGTAAAACTGCAGGCTTGCAGCCCCTGACAAGGGAAGAAGCACTGGGGAAGAGGAGGGAGCAGAATCAACCTCCTGACAGACATCAATTGCAAATTGCCTGGCTTGCCACGCACCTGTGAGCAATGGTGATCGTATCCTGGGCAGAATATGCTGGACGAACTTTGCCGCATCATGTTGCCTGCAGGGCATTGGCCACAGATGGAAACATTGAGGCTCAGACCCTCCCACAGGAACTGTTGAAGAGCTTGGGCAAGGTTCGAGGTCACCGGGCGGTCCCGGCGAAGCCTGGCACCAATGAGGTGCAGGACGGCACAGTTGATCAGGGAGTTGAAAAGCTTCCACAGGGCATCTCCACCCTGTCGCAGCTCGATTTCCAGAGCAAACTGGACCCACTGAGTTTGATAGGTCCGGCTCATGGGACGTAGGCTGCCGAAATGGCGAATTGTGGTGCCATTGATCAGGTTCTCGATCGCCTGTAGGTCCTGCAGAATAGAATCCGTTGAGCGGCTGTCCGTCTTCTCCACGAGGACTTCCTTTTGAGCAGTGGGATCCCACTGCATGTAGTTCCAGCTGCCCTGTGAATCGTATACCCATCCCATCTCGGTGGTCTTCTCTCGCATCGCACTCATAGCCGAGGAGTTGAAGCCCTTGATCCTGCCCTTGAGCTCCTGAATCAATTCCCGTAGCATCGTCTCCCGCAATGTGGACTGAACCTTGCCCTGGTCGACCAACTCTCTCCAGCGCTGAGCCACCTTGGTCATGAACGGCAGCACAGACCCCGGAGGATCCGGGCGAAAGAAGAAGAACAGCTTCGTGTCCTGCTGAAGTGCCTGCAGCTGGCGCTCGTGTCTCAAGAGAAGCCTGGCCATCTGCCCCAGAACGGGTGGCTGAGAGGATGGAGCCGCCCCCTGTGCTGCACCCCATGGAAGAGCATCCCATTCCTGTAGTGGCCCGTTGGTCTCGCCTGAAGAAGCCCAGTAGGTCGGTTTGCTTTGTGGCAGCCTTGCCTTTGTTCTTGCCCTTGCCCTTGTGTTTGCCTTTGCCCTTGGCCTTGCCTTTGCCCTTGCCGGCTTGAAAGTCCTGAGCATCCAGTCCCGCCTGAGGCATCTGCATGTCCTCTGCGCTCTGCTGCATTTGATCCTGTCGAGGCCTCTTGGTCGCAACCCGGAGTGGTCCGACGGTGGAGGATGGCAGAAGGAGATCAGGTGCTGAAACATAGCTTTCTCTTGCTCCTGGGCACTCTGTGACAGAACACCCTGCATCGGAGTTGGGCTCGCGGGAGCCGGAGTCATGGCGGCAAGAGTAGGCTTCAATGAAGCAGCAAAGGGTGATAACATGGCAACGCTTCCAGTGCGATTGTTTATCAAAGACCGCTTCAAGACAATAAGGGCAGGGCTTGGTAATGGCTCTCTTCATGAGTGCTGCAAGCTCCAAAATTCGCGGTCGAAGTTCAGTCCAACAGGCATGAGCATTGGTGAGATGCACCTTCATGCCTGCAGCAGTTGTACACCACTGCCCACAACACGGACAGTGGTGTCTGAGCTCATCACGTAATCCAGGTAGAAGGATGAGGCTCTGCCAGCCTCTTTGTTTTTGGCCTGACGGAGAACGTCCACACGCTGAATGACTGGCGTTGAGCAAAGCTGTCCCACCTGAAGCTGCCACTTGGTGTCACTAGCTTGTGCCTTGGTACCCGAACCAGGAATATGCATGGGCAGGTGGGCTGATGTGGAACACAAAGAGTGTGCAGCACCGGTGGTACTGGCAGCCTGGGGTACATCCAAGGACAGAGACGCACTCGGACAGAGGGTAGGAGCAACAGGAGCAGGCGTCGGAGCAACAGTGGCCAAGGTGGATACAGGCACACCCAGAGGGGTGGAGGAGCACACGTCCAGGGCATCGGATGGAGCAGGCAAAGTTTGCGTTGTAGTCGGCTGGAGCAAGGGATCCAGCATGACGCATCTACCCTTTTGTATGTGGTCCCGTAAAATAGACCAACGCGAAAAGGTCCGAGTGCACAGGGTGCAAACTGGCATACCAGAGACGGCATGAACAACCGGATCGAAGGGTACTCCTAGATTACGAGAAGCCTGTGTGGCACGGTGATGCGAGGCTTGCTGCACTCGAAGTGTCCGCAAGTCAGAAAAGGAAGCATCACAGGCCGGGCATCGGAAAAGAGGGGTGCTTAACGAAGCGGGGGCCAATGTATCCGGTGAAGTGGAATGCATGCCCGGGGGACCACCTGACATGTTCGCTTGCCCAGGATCATGATGACGAAGGAGTGCATGTGCGAGCTCATCACATTTGGTGACCATAAAATGTGGCTCAAGACCGACTTCATGAGCAAGCACAGTGCGATCACGAAGGCTTGCCAGGGATCTCAAAAGAATGTCTCGAACAGTGGGTACTCCCAACCGTGTGTGCAGATTCATGGTGCTTTCAAAAGTGAGGTGCGACTGGGAGCGGGACACAGCACGCAGGTGCCTGGTGTACACAGCCTGAAGACGTCCCAACTGCTTGACGGTAAGGGGCACGACGTGCAACCCGTACAAAAGCGTAGGTGGCAGACAAGCCCGCCACAGACGGAGCCTCAAATCAATCGCAGGGGCAGAGGCAGAGGTAAGAAGGGGCCTTAACTTCGTCCAGGCGCTCCACGCTGTGGCAATACGATGTTCCACGGAAAGAGACACCGCCTGGTGATATGAGATGGTAAGTCCCAAGTAGACATGTTCTTCCTTGAGTGGTATATCAAGTCTCCGACCAGCAGGCGTGGTGAAATGCACCACCCTTCCCTCAGCTCCTTTGCGAAGGTGGCTCTTGACCCATGAGGGCGCAAAACCTCTGGTGAGGCGAAGCAAGAAAGCTGACTTCTTCTCGTTCACCAAAAGATGCGACTCAAACAGTTGATCAAGGAAGCAACCAAAGCGCCATAGTGCCCGATCAAGATCAGTAACCTTACGAACATGTGCTCCCGTATGAAAATCGTCCGCAAAAGCCGTCAGGTGCCTGGCCGTCCATCCCGAATCAATGGCCTGATCTGCTCGTACCATCACCACCGCGGTAGCAAGCGCCCATAACAAGGGAGCGATACGGCAGCCTTGCCTGACGCCACGTTGAACCGTCACCTGTGCAGTGGCTTCCAAACAATGGTTGAGCACCCGCAGAAGTGCCTGATCTGTGGATCGATCCGCCAAATAGGCGAATTGAGGATGCAGCTTCAGGAAACTGGTGACAAAGGGCTTTAGCTTGGCCTGTATAAGGCCACAGACAGCACGACCGGAAATTTCGGAGATACCTAGTGGCCGCAAGTGGCGGGGCAACGTTGGCGATGTGATTTTGGGGAGCAACGACATCCGTGTCCTTCCAGTCTTGTGGGACCACAGTGGTGGTGCTAAGGAGCAGGCGCAACCACGGAGAGACAGTGGAGGAACAGGCCACCCAGATGGAGGTGTGCGCCAGATGCTTGGGTGCGGCCTTATGCGGTGACATGTGCCAGAGGGCACTGTCCACCGAGTTTAGGTCAAGCTGAGAAAATGGCAGCACCTCCCGCTGAGAGGGTAGACACCCATCGTTCACTGGTCGCGCCTCAGAGGGTGAGGAAGGACATGCAGTGGCATACAAGGTATTGTAATGCTGTTGCAAGGTACGTGCCTGCTCACCATGTGAGAGAATTTCGTTATTTGGCCCTCGCAGCTGGAGCTTGCAGCGCCGCTGTTTGGGGCAGAGACGTGAAGCAAGCTGGAAGAGAGCACGCGTGTCACCTTTGCGGGCAGCAGTTTCCATGGTGTCAACCTGGGCCCGGAACCACTCAGTCTTGGACTTCCGATTGGCCTGGCGGAAGCGACTGTAGGACGCCCAGGCAGTCCAAATGCTGCGCCTTGTGGAGCTCGAAGTGCCCCTCCAATGGTGGTATAGGCAGACCACATGGCCTTCACAGAAGTGGCAACCGCAGTGGATTGCCATGGGACCACACGCCCCTGATGCTTCTTACCAGGGAAAAGCTCCACAGCAATGTCCTTCATAGTTAGATTGATTTCCTGCACAGTGGCCCGCGGAGAGGAGAGCAGGAAAGAGGCAACCCGGGCATTCAGAGCAACAATGCGAGGGTCCTGGACATCACGACAGACTTGGGACAGGGTATGCGTATCCAAGATAGGCACAGCTTTGCGAGCAGGACGCGCAAGGGCATGAACTGAAGGCAATTTCACAGATGCGAAAACCGGCATATGATAGCCGCCTTTTCGCCACTTGAAAAGGGGCCATGCAACAGGGCCCGCACGGCGGGCTTCCATGTCTCCTAGCCCATGACGTATAAAAATGTGGTCAATGAGGGAGGAGTGACCATCACACCTGTACGTCGCCTTAGCAGCTCTAGACCAAGAGTTGAGATGGAGGAGATGGCAGTCAACAAAGAGGTCCTTGAGAACGCCTGCGTCAACAGGGAAGGTCGTAGGGACAAGCCGCACCCGATTTCCAACCAACGAGGGCACTACCTCAACCGGCGTGTTAAAGTCGCCACCGATAATCAAGACATTGCGCATCGGCAAGGACTTGACGAGGCCCTGGAGGGCGGCCCAAACCTCCTTGCGAATTTGCTTAGCTGTGGCAGTGGGAGCAGCACCCTTTTCAACAGCAAGTGATGTGCTGAACACCTTCTGATAAACATTGACCAGATCCACAGTGCAGCCCTCCAAACACAGTCTGAGGTGCAGGAGCCGTCCTTGGACGGGAGCTGTGAAGAGTAAGTATGGAGTCAGAGGAACATATGACATGCCATCCCGGCGTATCATATTGAAGATCTTCTTGCCAATGAGTTTCCTGAAGGAGAAGTGCATCAGGTTTACTCTCAGGTGGAAGTATGGAGAGATACTGCAAGAGCTCACTGTACGCAGCAGAGGACAGGCCCCCCACATTGTAGGTGACAACTTTCAGCCTGGATAGGCAAGAGGAGTGCCGTGAAGATTGTTTGCACGGAGAGACAGCTGAGGGTGTCGGCTGTTTACGGCCAATCAGTGTATGTAGCGAACACCATTTCCCTCGATAGAAGGTGCCCTGAAAAGGGCTAAGGGTCGCGCGGCGACAAGCCCGATTGTAGGCCCGCTTCTGCGAAATGGTATGACCTTGGCCGGAGATCGGTAGCTGAAGAAAGGCAGCCCATCTAACCCATCTAGCAAGAAGACCCCCAGCAAAGAACTTGCGAGTCTGACAAGTGGGGGGGCGAGCTAGACCAAGCGATGGTCTCTGAGCTGGCAAAGTGAGCTGCTGTTGACCCGGGGTTGGCACATGAAGAGTGCAGTCGTTAGTGCAGGTGGCAGTTGATGCAGCCGAAGACGAGAAAGGGGCATCTGACAAAGTGGCCAATGAACAGTAGTCGTGGACAATGGCCTCATATACTTGGCATTGGAAAGGAAGAATAGCGATGGAGTTGATGCAAAGGTGGCCCCTAGAGGCAGCACATAGTAGTATTCGTCCGAGCTTCTCCACGAGTCTATGACCAGGACAGACAGTGCAGATCCAAGCGGTAGCAAGACAAGTGGATTCAGGGCGTTTGGAGTGCCCAACCCTCGGCTCAGAGAAGTCATCACAAAGCTCACCAGTTATCTCAAAGCAACTGGGTGTGACCATTTGTGACCTCCCGCCCGGATTTGGGACCGGGTCCAGCGACATATCTAGACAGACAACATGAGTCTGAAGGCGAGTGTGTGAATTGGCTAGCCTCAAAAATTCGGGAGAGGCAGGAAAGATCGCTAGGGGCAGTGGAGTAACAGACTGAACAAGCCGAGCATGACAGGGATGTGCCAAGATTGGAATGCATGCAATCAGTATTAGCAAGAAGGGATATTGCTCGCGGGATCCCTGCATACAGATACGCTGGCTCGGTGCTCCGCAGGCACCCCCAACAGCTCAGAATAAGTGATTGCAAGTGTATGCTAACCAGGCGCACCACATAGGCAGCAAGACTGCGCGCCACGGAGGGTGACACCACACAGCGGATGGAACTCAGACCGCAGTAGAGGTGGTGCCAATAACTACGTTGAGATTTGGACCTGCGAGCACGTCGGGGACACCTGGGAGGCAAGGCAGGAAGTTTAATCCGACGAACACGTAGCCGCAACCCAAAGCAAGGCCGTAGGGCAAAGCAGCTGAAGCGGTGCATGTATCCACTCTTGGACGGGGGGGCATCTCGCGATGAGGTCGAAGACTGTACAGGCACTGGACTCATGCCAGAGGCCGCTCCTGAAGCGGTGTCAGGAAGAGGGTCAGCAGCGATCTCTTCCTCTGTCAGGAGCCACTTGCTTCTGCCACGGGGGCGCTTGTGTGGATCTGGTTGATAGGAGGGGTCGTAGACCTCCTGAACCAAGCCAGGAGCACCAGCAGTGGATTTCCCGCTCCTTCGAGGCCGGGACTTTTTGACCACAGTGCGAGTCTTCACTTTGGCGCGTACCGGTTTGCTCTTTGAGCTGCTGGCCATAGCCCCAGCCGGAGTCGTTGTAATATGAGCTGGAGCTGTTGGCGACATCTCGGCAGTCGTTCCGGACGGTGAGTTGACAACAGCCTCCGGCAAAGAGGGGACGTCCTGTAGAGGGGCACTTGTAGTGGTAGCCAGTGGCATGTTCGAGGCCCCTGTGCGTTTCGAGGCCGTGGAGTCAAGGGTCGATGTTGGCACCGAGGACGAGGCAAAGACTGCTCCTGAGCATCAACCGGGAGAGGCTCATCAGTGACCCAGTTGTCAGTGGCCGTCGCAGAGGATTTTGGCACAGGCAATCACTCCAAGGTGGCTGGCAGCTCAGACCCAGAAGTCTTAGCACCTGCTATGGGCGGAGCTCTTCGTTTCTTGGGCACCGGACGTGGGGCCACATACGCTGTCCCTGAGGGAGTGTGCAGGACCTGGTGGTCTGGGACTTTCGCAGAGCCATCAATAGGGTGCCTCCGTCGAGGTTGCGGAGGTCGCCGTTGCGGATCAGAGGTCAGATCGCTTACTGCAGAATCCCCAGGCAACAGTTCACGTTGAGGCGGCAGAGGCCGTACTGAGCGCAGAACGAGGTCACCCACGGTAACTTCGCTGGGATACTCTCCAAGCTCATCGGAGAAGGTGGAGAGAGTTGATACACTCTCCTCCTCACTAGGAATTTCAATTGGCTTCCGCTTCCGGCCAGATTTTGTAGGTCTAGGAGGAGGATCCGACAAAGCACAGGCCTTACCACCATTGTCAGAGGATGCAGCCGCCGGCGCTCTTTTGCTGATGCCCTCGGGATCGGAACGAACAGCAATGTAGTCCATCTCCTGCTGCTTCAGGCTAGGTGGAGCAGAGGACAGGTCCTTGCCAGTGTCCGGCTTCGACCCCGTCGCAGCCGACATGATGGCCGGCAAAAGAGGTGTCCTGGGAGGTCGTGGCAGGCTCACTCAGATAGGGGCGTAAATATACGGTGGCTGGCGGTGGCCGCCGTGTTCGCCACTTCATGAATCTGAGCTTCTGCAGTTCGCTGGTCGTGAGGCGAGCTTCGTCGCCCTGGGGCGGTCTGAAGGGATCCAGCCAATAGTCTCCCCCGTCTGGTTTGGCCGGGAGACCGTAGCAGCTGCCCAGGCCTGCAGCGGCATCACCTCCCATCTCCAGAGTGGAGACGGAGCTACCAGCCGGTGGCTCCTCCTGTGGCATAGACTCAAGCCCAGTTGCTCGGGTGGCACGATCCGATGACAGACTCTGTGAAGAGTTGGTTTAGTCTTCCCGCTCTTTGTTTTTGGCGTCGCTGGCGTCGAGCTTGTCGATCCATGCCAGGCAAGTGACTGTCGCACTTCCAAAGGCTGACGAGGCTGTGTGCTCGAAGTGGCAGGTTCCCAGTGGCCAGCAGTGCTGGCACGGAACCATGGAAAAAGAAGCCTGGTTCAGGTAGAATTGAGCCAGGATGGTCAACCGTGGAAAGCAAATAAGAGAAGGCAAGCCAAGGAGACTCACGGCGCAGGACTGCCCGGTCGAGCATTGGTGACAGGTTGGCTGAATGGCAGACTGGGCTTCCGACAACGAGGGGCAGAGCTGTAGTATCCGGTCTCAAACGGGCTATGTCTACGTGGTGCATGGCGTGCAGCTTGCCACGTCACAGCACAAGGAGGCAATGGGACCCGTTGCAGCTGAGTCAGGCCTATGAAGCTGGTAGCAAAAGAGGGTGACACGACCTGACCTACCAACAGAGTGTTAGATTCACGGCAGCCTAGCATCACTATCAGCCTTAGAGCTGGAACGTCGAGGGCTGCGGCTACGATCGCCAGGGTGGTTCTGTGATGTGCCATCAGCCGGACCAGACTCCAGGTCACCTGATTGAAGCTGTGCACGCCAGCGTTTGTAAGCTTGTTCCGCAACCTGAGCTGCATAAAGGAGATCTCCTTCAGTGGGGGAGTCGGGTTCAGTCTCCTTCGGCTGGGCATACACACTCGCCGCCTCATTGTTCTTTGAAGAGCTGGGCAAGGCCAGGGCGACAGAGGGAGCGTCCTTGCTTGTTCCGGACGGTGGTGGTGTAGCGGACTCCCTGGACTGCTGCTCAGAAGGTTCAGCCATGATGCGCTGGCGTTGAGACACGGCGCTGAGAGCTGTACACCCTGCTAGGGTCAAAGCCTTGAAGCCCACGTAGCTGGTGCACGAAGAAGAAAATATGCTCCAAAGTAAGCTGCACCGGCTGAGCGAAGGCAGTGGCTGAGGCACCCAGGGGGCAGTACTAAACTGAGGCTGAGGCGGGACCTGCAGTGGCTTCCTCCACGGGCAGAGGCTGACCTGCACAAGGAGATGTAGAAGCAGGAAGGGCAAGCGCACTGGTGTGGGGCTTGGCACGGCCCTGAGTGACCCACATCTCCGAGCACAGGGCGGCACTGGACCGATTTCGGCCAGTCCAGAAAAGTAAAGGGCAGCCAGTGGTGGGGCCCTTTGATGAGGGGAGAAATAACGAGCAGCCAACCTCGGAGGCTACCTGTTGCCTTCATACGGGTGCAACCTAATGGTGATGTCCAGAGCCGTATGAGAAGATGTGGTAGAGAGCCTGGACAGGTCCACTGGTATTTCCAAAGTGACACTCTGTCGACCATCAGATCCAGTGAGCACTTGGCCTCGTACCGGTCGAGCCACTGTGCGGGGCACTTCCCAGAACATCGAACAAGGCCGCACCGGGCTGCGACTCCTAGAGTGCCGGTCACCCTCTCCCTGGCTGCGGCGGGTGCGACGGGTGAGTCCCGGTGGAGAAGAGCTAATGGTGGCAGTCTCAGGGGTGTTTGGTGCAGATGTCCCACCAGAAGCCATGAGGGTAGAAGTCGGAGGACCCACCTGCGCTGTTGTTGTTTGAGGCACCAAGAGCTGTAGTAGGGAAGCCTGACCGACAAGGTCGAGTGACGAGGGGTCAGCGTGGGCCATGGCACTCTGGTGAGGCAGGGACAGCACCGTATCGGAGGCCGGTACAGCAGCAAGAGCAACGCTTCTAATACATGGGCCCTGATCTCAGAAATAACAAGTGTGGCTCGCACGACTTCCCATTTGCCCAACTCCCGAAGCAGGGCTTGAACAGTCCAGCCTGTAGCTGGAGGTGTAGTTCGTTCGGCCTGAGCAATCAGATCAAGATTTCGGGAGCAAGACCCTCCACTAGTGGCTTGCACGCAAGAGCAGGGCATGAATCGTGGCTGGATTTTGCGGCTTGGCTGCCAGCAACAGTCAGGGCAGAGCTGTACCACGGAAGAGTGCCCCAGGTGGACGTTGCCACCTAGACATGACCAGGAGGTCGCTGTGTGAAGACGCGGCTCGCGGAAGGAGGAAATGAGGACAACATACCGGATGCCAACAGGTGGGATGGGCACCCTGACCATGGCCACAGAGTCACGGGCAGTGTGCTGCGATGGAGAGCGTAGTCGAAGGTCTGCCTGCCATTGGATTTGTATCCTAGCCCCCAGGCTCGATGGACATGACACGCCCATAGCGGCGGAAGCCGCGAGTGCTCGGCGCGGAGGTAGTCGTGGCATGGGTCCCCGAATTCGTGACAAAGTCTGGCCTGTTAACCGGGAGAGGCGGGGGGGGCCCTCTCGGGGCTTCTATGGAGGCAACGCTCCCCGCTGGCGAAGGCCTTGGAGGTCCTGATGGCGTCGCCGGTGCAGGCACCACTGAGTCGTCTGGCGAAGGGGGTGAGAGAGGCGACGACGTGTCGTCGCTGCTGCTAGCTGCATTCTCTGCCTCTGCTCGAGCTTTTGACTTCGCAGCCCTGCCAGCTCTGCCACGTCCCCGATTGGTTGGGGTGTCTCCAGCGCCCACCTTTCGCTTGACCATGCTTCCACAATGCCAGCTAGGGAGTGCTGTGCAGCGTAGGCTCGGGGCAACCACTGCAAGTGAGCCCAAGACTGATATACAGTAGAAGTGATTGGAGCAAACACTGATGCATGCACCCACAGGGTTGCCAAGATAGGTCGGGCATGCAGGTCTGAGCCAGGTACCGATGGCGTCAGGTGGTCACGGTCTCGAGGAATGGACCTGAATAAGGACGGTGCAGCAACCGGCCCAAGGCTGCGGAGTCGAGGACACTGAGGAGTGGGCACCAGGCGAGGACTCCTCGAATACAGATACAGATGAGGAGGCCCCGAGTGATGGACAATCGGCGAGGCCACCTCAAACCTGAAGAGGAAGCCGGGTAGGCACACAGGTAATTCTGGTAGCGGAGCCGTGGGCACCCAAACAAGATCGTGGCGCCCATCCATAGTAACGCAGCAGCTGGGTGGAGCAAAGGACCGAACGGCCCTTATATCATCATAGCACCCCTGGCTGAGAGGAGCACAGGGCTCCACGGATCGAGTCAACCACAGCTTTTAGCAGACAGGGATAGGTGAGCACGCCGCTGCACTGGAGCAAGAGCTTTCTGCAAGCATAGTGGTAATTAGCACTTTCTCCAGAGTTTTAACCCAGGTGTCCAAAACACATTGCCCATGTGTTGCGAGTCGGAATGGCCTAGGTTGTATACTGTCGTCATCCAAAGGCACTGCAGGACGGAATACACCGTCTGACCAAAGCACAAGAAGAGACATCACCTCAGTCCATGGTGTCCAAATCCGTCGAGCTGGTGATAGACCTGGCATCTGCAGTGGCCCGCGGGCAGTTAGCAACCACACCCAAAGAGGCTCGGACCTATTGGGATAGGCACAGCGGTTGGTATAGGTATCAGAAGTGAGACCTGTCTCGCGAGCCGCTTGGACAGACAAGACGTCCAGATGCTGCCGATGCTTGAACATGGTCCGCGCAAGGGCCGGCAGCTTCAGCCTGTGCTTCACAGCATCATGCAAGGCATACGGATGGTAAGGTCGCGGATTCTCACCTGATGTGGGGTTGGCCTTGCCATTTGCCTCCCTGCAGGAACCTTGCGGCCAGCAATCATGTGTGGCAGTCGCCTGTGACATCCCTGAGCATAGGTTGCTGGCATACGCTCTGCCGGACTGATCCCTGCACATCGCCAGAAAAACCAATAGTGTAGTTTGCACCATAATAAAGCAAAGTCGCGAAGACCCGCCTGTGGTGCTCGAGGCGTCAGGGCTGGGCATTTTGTTAGCCCTGCTGGTGCCGCTCTTGCCAGAGTCCATGGCTGTCAGTCAGAGGGCCCTGTATGACACCCAGCAAGCCCGCGAGAGGACAAGACCCCGAACACCCACACCAGGGGCCCCTTCACACGATCACAGTCGCTGTGAGCCTTACGTACACATACCTGTGTACATACGTGCATATGTACATGTGTTTCTGCACATATACATCTTGGAGTTAATAAGATAATATATGTATGCATGCACACACACACACATGTTCCACCCCATGCACTTGTGCGTGTACACATGTGCTACATGTGAGATGCTACACCAGATCGTGCATGCTTATGACATAGACATACACATTCATGTGTACGCATACACCAGTACATACATACATATACATATATACACACATACATACACATGTACACGACTGCAGACGTAGACCACCCCAAGATAGACTGACATGAACCTTCGTAGTTACATACTTGCATCTGTTGGCACGGCAGCAAATGCATGTACCTGCCGACCTAGATGGCTACCTACTTATTACCTATATCTCACACCTGCCTGCCAACCTGTCTACCTGCATACATACATTCGCACGTACATCTATGTACATACATGTAATAAATGTACATATGTACATGCCGTGTGCATGCACATATACATGCCTAGCCTACATGGATGCATACACTCATACATACAGGGTGACAAATGTGGACATGTACATACACAATAGCAGACATGTGTATATATATATATATACATATAAATGTATCCATGTACAGGTTATATTGCTTCTAACATCTGTAAATGCATACATACATGTGTGTATATATATATATATATATGTATGTGTGAGTATCTGCAGACATGCACACAAGCAAGCATACATACATACATGCATGCAAACACACACACACACACACACATCATGATGACATCATGCCATAAAAATGAAGATGCACCTGCATCTGCTTGCTTTCTTTGTTTATTTCCGTATCTCATTGTTGCATCCATAGCTTTATTCTTTGTTTCTCTCACCCACTCACTGCACCTTTTGCCTTTTTTAATTCGTCAGAATTTCGATTCCTTTCCATTCCATTCTATTCCACTACG